TTCCCCTCCGTTGCTTAGCAACGCTACTGATCGACTCGATATGTTGTTGTACTTCCTGCCGTAACTCGCGGAGGCACGGCGCCGTCCTGAGCACATGGTCTGAAAACATCTTGCTGTCTGTGAAGGCAGCGTTATAACGCTAACAAACTAGCTTTATAACGTACAGATTAGTTATGTCCCTCGGGGTACGTTGAAACGAGTTTCAACTGTACGACGAGTAGTAGTCGTCGTCTTTTTAGTTTGAGTCTGGATTATTGTACTCTACGGTAGTGCCTCCAGTTGACAATAAGTTTTACTTTCAAGGTCCTCGTCCCGTAAAAATGAACTTCAGAGTAGTAGTGACCCCAAATTGTCCTCGTGTCGGGAAGTTTATCACGAAATTTGTGGCGGCTTGGTGTGCAGGCGTGAAGCAGCTAAAGTGGGAGAGCCAACGCGACGACTGGATCCACGACCGGGATGCCAAGACGCTGCGCAGGAAGAAGGCCGCCTTCAACAAGAGGAAGCGCTTCGGACGCGGCGTCAAGACAACGACGGTCATGATGGGCAACAAGAGGAAGAGGAAGTAGCCGTCAGCGGCCACCGGCGTCGGTCGCCCAGTCCAGTTGATCCCTCTGCCGCACACCGTACTCGCCCGCCAGCTCGTTGGACTTATAGTAAACTATCGACAGGAGAAAACGTAATTGATTGGATCCCAACAGGAAGTGTGTGAGCTGATATGACATCATTTTCTGTCTACGAGCGACTGCTGCCGATGTCTTCGGGACCGAAAGGCATCATGTATTTTCTTACCTTCCAGAATGGATGGAAATCTTTTCTTCATTGTGCTCCTGAAATCTAAAAAATAAAATAAAAAATCCATCAACTTGTAGAACAGAACGAGGATGAAAGACTGATACGGAAATGTGGATTTAAACTCTTAAGTCATTGATGTTCTATATTTATGGAGGAATAACATGCTCTGTGATTTTCTACAGACTAGCATTGATTATTTGTGCGTGTGCGTGCGTGTCCACACCTTGGCTCGTGTTCATGGCGTGGAAGAGTGCATATGCACCAAAAACGCCAAGTAGTTCAATGACAATGATGCCTTTCATCCACTTTTTGGCCAAAGATGCGAAAGGTTTTGAAGACATCCTATAAATTCCACATTTCACACAGTGTGAGTATATTTGATTTGGAACTGTA